ACGTGTGACAGTATTTCGCAATGGAGAGCGGACCCACCCCAGTCTCGGCCAAACCATAGCATTTGGGGGCATATTGCGTAGATAATTGTTTATAAATAGTTGTACTATTTTGATGATGGTTGTGGTAGTTCTCCAAGTTTTAACTCCGCACAGTAGGACTGTCTTGACGTTCATATAGAAGATTCTGACTCTGATATTGGCTTGCATACAGTTGTTTTGAGTTCCATATGTTCTTTAACTGTAGAAAGGCGGCCCTTGCTTTCACATCTGCATTAGACCTTCCTTGCTCATCGATGATGCTTCCCAGGTACGTGAATGCTCCCACCTCTTCCTGAGTTTCTTCATGAAGTGTGACTGGGTTGGTGTTTTCCGTGTTGTATTTGAGAATATTTCTCTTTCCCTTGTGTATGTTGAGGCCTACTGATGCAGAGGCTTCTGCTACACTCGTCGTCTTGACTTGCATTTGTTGGTGTGTATAGGATAGAGGGGCTAGGTCATCTGCGAAGTTGAAATCATCTAGTCGCATCCAACATATCCATCGTATTCCGTGCCTCTCCTGAGATGTGTAGTTCTTCATAATTCAGTCATTTATTTATGTGGATACATACATTGGCACAAGGGGGCGCGAAATACATATGCGCTACACAATAACAATGGGGTTGTAAGAGGCAAAGAATGTAAAGTGCGTATAGTAAAAGAGAAACAACAACGAACAGAAATTGGTGTATGAGGGTGAAATAATAATAATGATAATAATAATAGGAGAAACAGTTGAGTTAGCAAAAGTATAACCAAAAATAATTCTTTCAATCAAAGAAGTTACGTTCATTTTTTTATGAACTAAAGGGAAGTTACAGCAGAATCGCCACTGGCTTCTATTCTGAGCCATATCTGATAATGTCTCTAGCCACCCATGTTCAATACTCTAGTGGAGTACTACAAGTTCGTGTTCCATCTGTCGATTCGGAATGCCGGATTCAGGTACGCCTAGTTGGGGACCCTGGGATATCTTCCTCTGGTTTTGCTGGTGTTGGTATCACAATGGGCGCCTGAGCAGGAGGAGTATTAATCGATTGAATCACTATTAACAGTTGTCTATGTGCTGTTAGATTAGAAGGCTCCATCAAAAAGAGAAAGAACTGGTTTGTGAAACGGTGTATTCTCGTTATTTCCGTCTACGCCCCAATTGATTGCAACCCGAATGCAATCAAGGATGAGTTCTACCATCAGTTGAATGATCTTAAGAAAGCGCAGATACTAACATATAAACGTGAATTAGTTGAATTCAACTAAATAGACATCGTAACTTACATGTTTGGTCATGAGTACAGTGAAGTTAATTGATAAAGCAGGAAGTGCTATGACAATTGTGAGTGGAAGCAGGATTGGTGTACCTAACATTATACTACAAACAGTAACAACACGACGAAGTTTTGACCATCGGCTGCGACCCAATACAGTACAACCGGAAAAACTGGAAATGGTAAACACATAAGAATGAAGTAGTGGAATGCAGTAATATGGGAAGTTATTAATCAAAAGTAGATGAACGTATCTATAAGTAATCGTATGACGTGGAATTTACACAGTACTCAAAAGTAACAAGCCAAAGAAAAAAATTATCTGGTATTTCTTAGTCTTCGGTGGTTTTCAGTTGGTTTCAATGCCCATTAAAAACGGTCTTCAGACTAACTAATAGTAATACCTATTAGTACTGAAAACTAGCAAGTAGCCAAAGTGTATTGAGTTTGATAAGCGAAACAGGTCACTTACTTTCTAATCGATTAAGACATACCTGGTTGTTGAGACTAATTCTTATCCATCATATCACAGTATGAATTAAACTGAGGGGTATGTGAATTTGAATAATCTCATAATAATGAAACAAGAGTGACTCGTGGATTTGGCGAATTTCCTAGAACAGTAATTGTCAGAAAAGTTAAGTCAGTAGGACTATTACCTGGAGGTTAAGAAGACAAGGTAGGATCGGCAACTTAAACGGGACATTTATCTATAAATCGTTGGTTATATCTGTTTTACCACCACACTTAATAATAATAAGTGTGACTAACTCAGTCAGTTACCGAACAAAAATTCTTCTACTCAGGTTAACTTGCAGGCTACTGATACTACCTGTCTGCGTAAACGAAAGTAGGCAGTGAATGGTCGAAACATGAACCTCTGTATTTGGTAATCAAGTAGTTTAAATGCCAAAGCACCATTTTACAAATACGCGAGAAAATGAAAGACAATATGAAAGTTCCAGGCGTCCCATTATACGTATTCGTTTAGTTTTGTAATGTTTTTAATATGATTTGGATTTATATAAGCGTTGAGGTAATATAATAAGTATTTTAATTTAAATAGCTTATACTCATAATTTTGTCAGTCAGTACCTTTTGGTATGTAACGAAATTTGACGCACTAGCCCTATATGCAAGTCCATATTTGATTGAAAAAATAAATACCACTTAGTTATTTGAGGTAGACAGGTATATCTTTTTGGGAAACATAATCTTTATAGCCGAGTTTACCATAGATGTATTGATTTATATCCTATGGATAACACAAACAACCGGCACATTCTATAGTTGTCAAATGCTATTTAATACTCTAAAGATGGTTTGTGTGGTCTTCTAGTTTAACCGTAAAATGACAGGTTTTTGATTTTTTTCGCACAGTTCGACTGTGTAGTGCTATGTCAACTCTTATGGCCGAACCCGAAGTATTCTGTCTTCAGGGATTTAACGTTCCAATATCTTTCAGCTTGGTTCATTTATATATGTTCCCCTGAACACTTAGTGCGATCAGTTAGTTAATACCTCAGTTTCAATTCAGCTAGCTCAACAGGCTACTGTTTCGAAGTAAAACTTCGTGAAATCCATACTAAATCTGTCCACTGCTCTCTAGCTTTCAGTTCTATGTTTTTAAACTCATCAAACCTCCAGAAACTTAGTTAAATCTTGAATCCGTTCGATCGTGTAAGTAACCTTTAAGTATACATATGATGAGGGATGTTGTAATAGTCTGATTTAAGTGTGGTAAGTTGCAAAAGATTTTACTGGTACTATGCAATGTCTTCTTTTTTTAGTTTATTCACTTTCATTTTCTCTAGTATTTTGTTACTGTTTTATATTAACTTAGATTAGAAAGGTTCGCAGACGCTTGAAGTAATGTCATTAAAATAACATAGATTTTTATATGGATCATATTCTAAAGTTAAGAAAATATTAAGTCCACTACAGTTTATAATATACCTCTTTACACAGTATTTCTGGTTATTTACTCTGTGTTTAGAAATCTAGTTTGACATTCATATGCGATAATTCATTAGTTAACGTTGATTGATCATCTGTTAATTAGATTTCAGTTTTAGTTATGCTTAAATATCGGCAACTTTTATTCTGTAGGCTACAAAGAAAGCAGTTTAACAATAGTGTCATCTTTTTTATATATTCATTCATTCTAAATTAATTATACCTCTATCTAGTCTGATACATAATGCTTATTACTTAATATCACTTGTATTTTTTAGTGCTTCTCCATTAAATACATCTTAAACTTTTAATAAGATAAATATAAGATTTTGTGTATAACGTTCAGATAATGAAAGTTTAATCAACTGTCAGTCATTTCTCAGACGATAATTTTTACATTAAGCACGAACACCATCATTGAAATTTTGTCGACTCACTTAATATACAATTAACGTTATTAGGATACCAGAATATATATTTACAGCGAAACCTGTCTTCTAGTTTAATGGCTACGTTCATCTGTTATATGACGTGATGAAAAGGCGACATTAGATTCTTTTACTCATTGTGATTTTTATTCAACAGTACTCCCGTTTTAAATTCAATGTGATAATTACTTAGTTTATTATTTGTTTTGTTTTTCAATGTGATATTTTATTCGGTACAACATACGATATTTTTGTATTAAATTAACATAAACTATGCTCAGCATGGCGTGTGCCCCCAAATGCCCTGGTACAGCCGAGAGTGGGGAGAGTCCGCTCTCCCTCTCGAAATGCTCTCATATGGCCACGCGTATATAGCCTCTGCCAGAGAAGTCCTACTCATTGCCTTCTTGTGGTAGGGGTGTTGTTTACGAAATCGAGAGGACGAAAAGCGAACGTCCGGCGCTTTAACCGGGTTGGTGGACATGGAGAGTCCACCTAGGGGAGTTGAAAAACCCTAATTATAAACCAATGGTGCACATGGGCTCCAGTATCCTGCGGGAACAAATGGCGTACGAACCAATTTCTTGGTCACCGGCTACCATGGGACTGCATCTCCTTACGATGCTCCACTGTTTTGTGGACCAGACCTTCAGGTCGAAGGCTGCGGGTGTGGCCCTCTAAGAAAACCACCTGCTTCGGTTTGGGCACCCGGGCAGTATCACAGCCCTCACACATATCAAATGAGATTTGTGTGGCACATATGTATTTGGTGCCTCTTTGTACCAATATCTATGTGTTAAAATAAATAAATAAATAAGCATGACATGTAGCATGGAATTTGTTATAATTTTTTATATATGCAATTTCATCCTAATTAATTATCAAATAGGTTTACAATCAATGTATAAACGAGCGTATTTTCGACTAGGGTCGTCGTCGTGTTTTGGGTTTAACAAATCTTCTATTGTACCGGTTGTGGTGTTCTTACTTCCCGTTGTGGAAATTGCAGTAGTTCCTCGTTTTTACAAGTATAAGTAATAAGTGATTCCGACATAACACAATCAGTGACGACCAGTTATAACAAATTGACGACGAGACATAACAATCCGTTCACATACAATGTCTTAAATCTAATAAAGCAACAGAGTATTAACTTCAAAAACCTGAGATGAATTTGTTATCTAATATAAGCAGATTCGTAAATCTCTTTTTGTGTGTAGTATATATTAATTGTTGATCATTAATTTCTATATACACAATAAATCCACTCAAACGTTGTTTTTCAATTAGTTTGATTTCATTGTTTTCATTTTAGACTCCTTAGTGAAACCCTGTCCTAATTGTAAAACTCTCATACAAAAACTTAATGATGGAAGGTGTAATTCTATGGTATGCTCAATTTGTAATTATGAGTTTTGTTGGTTATGTTTACGGGAAACTACAGCAACTCATTATTTGAAGTACGTAAGCAATAATCCTTGGTCTTTTGATGAATATATATTGTTATAACGCCCGGTTTTCCTTGTCTACACAAATGGGACGTTAATTTGCCTTGGATGAATATCTACACTAGATTCCCTCCCAGTGTCTGTTCTACAGGACTTCAACACAACTCACATCAAGAACACATGATTAGCCTGACTAGAACGTAAATATATTTCTACATTAAAAACCGTCAGCTAGCCTACACAATCCAATAATAATAATAATGATAATAATAAGGATGGGAGAATATATAATTCATCTAACACCTGTCAGACTACAAGTCTGAGTAAGTAAACAGCCAATCATTGTCATTCTCGCCCATATATATATGGTGGTGTTTATCAAGACAGACACTCAGAATGCGGAGAAGGCGAGAAAGCCAACTTCGATTTTGTCAAGTGTGACTCAATATTCATAACCAGACAAAAATAAGTTGCAGACACGTAATGAATAGGGTAAACAATTAATACACGTATGATCATATAAAAACAGTCGAGGCTAATAAGCGAATAATTAACGAGGTCGAAATGTGACTTGAAACAAATCAATAGATCGGTCTGTCCGGAAGCTAGAATGACCAATATAGGCTTGATATAGTACTAAACACTACAGCTGCAACACAAACCTGGAGACCAGCAAACGTTAAGCACTTACAATTGGTTGATCTCGGAATAGTGACCAACGTTACGTATATCAAGTCCTATTTAGTGCTGATCGAATTCTATCGATCAAGTTGCAACCTGGTCACTAGTTTGGGTTACTCGACATCGCATAAACTATTTTGACATATAAAATGGTGATTAGAGGTAGTCTATCTAAAACCCCTGAACCTAGGTTTCATACCATTTTGAACTCTTTAGTATGGTGTACCTGTAACTTTGAGGTTACTAATAATTCCTGGCGTATTCGATCCCGTGTCATTCAGCTTCACAATCGGAGATATCTCAGTCCTACAGGAAGTCAGTCGCGGTCCGAAAATCTCAGCAGTAACATCACTGGTTATGAAGCTGCGTATTACGGTATTGGACCCACAAGGAGGCATCAGCTTCCTTATTATTGCAGGTACACCTTGCTGACGAGTACCAAATAACACGAAACCTAAGTTCAGGGTTTCTTGTCGACTAACTCCAACCACTATAGTAATCGCCTAAATTAACAACTGTTCAACCGCAATTTACTCAGAGCAACGTAGGCGTTTATGAAAGTGAATAGCATTAAATGGCCTCTAGTTTACCTAGTATGAAAAATTATTAATTGAATATGTTCCCAGTCAAGCAGTTAACCATGCGCAACGTATAACCTGTTACATATGTGCTTCTGTCCAAGTTGCTGCACCAAATCACCGCGAGACTCCAGAAGAATATAAGTAATGACAGTATCAGTTGTATTAGAAAAAGTTAAAGAATGAGGATATGACTCGAGAAAAGATAGTTTGATAGAAAGAAAACGAGTAAACAGACCTATGCCATCACGAATGGTTCTGAGCCATATCACCCAAAGATCCTAACCAACTAGCCTTCACCTACCTTCATAACTTGGACGAACAGTCGATGACTTCATGAATTGATACCGCGTTTTGTCGTGGCACACAATAGATATCTCAATCGCCTTAGCATTGCGTTCTCTATCGTTTCAATATAATCCAATGCTTCGAAAGCATCTCTGATAAAGTACTAGTAACCCACAAACATCCTCTAATTTTAAGGTCATGAGATAGCCATAAAGTAAAGATGGCAAAAGCGAAGTGAGCATTCTGAATCTATTGCGAAATTCCATCGGACACCAAGCCACGATGTCTGATGAGACTTCCAACATAACTGAAGTGGTCGACGCATTCAACTATTTCACTCCATATCATTAGTTTAGGCGTTGACAAACATCCAATCCTGAAGCGACATTTTCTATAAAAGGCCGGTTGTTTGTGTTATCCATAGGATATAAATCAATACATCTATGGTAAACTCGGCTATAAAGATTATGTTTCCCAAAAAGATATACCTGTCTACCTCAAATAACTAAGTGGTATTTATTTTTTCAATCAAATATGGACTTGCATATAGGGCTAGTGCGTCAAATTTCGTTACATACCAAAAGGTACTGACTGACAAAATTATGAGTATAAGCTATTTAAATTAAAATACTTATTATATTACCTCAACGCTTATATAAATCCAAATCATATTAAAAACATTACAAAACTAAACGAATACGTATAATGGGACGCCTGGAACTTTCATATTGTCTTTCATTTTCTCGCGTATTTGTAAAATGGTGCTTTGGCATTTAAACTACTTGATTACCAAATACAGAGGTTCATGTTTCGACCATTCACTGCCTACTTTCGTTTACGCAGACAGGTAGTATCAGTAGCCTGCAAGTTAACCTGAGTAGAAGAATTTTTGTTCGGTAACTGACTGAGTTAGTCACACTTATTATTATTAAGTGTGGTGGTAAAACAGATATAACCAACGATTTATAGATAAATGTCCCGTTTAAGTTGCCGATCCTACCTTGTCTTCTTAACCTCCAGGTAATAGTCCTACTGACTTAACTTTTCTGACAATTACTGTTCTAGGAAATTCGCCAAATCCACGAGTCACTCTTGTTTCATTATTATGAGATTATTCAAATTCACATACCCCTCAGTTTAATTCATACTGTGATATGATGGATAAGAATTAGTCTCAACAACCAGGTATGTCTTAATCGATTAGAAAGTAAGTGACCTGTTTCGCTTATCAAACTCAATACACTTTGGCTACTTGCTAGTTTTCAGTACTAATAGGTATTACTATTAGTTAGTCTGAAGACCGTTTTTAATGGGCATTGAAACCAACTGAAAACCACCGAAGACTAAGAAATACCAGATAATTTTTTCTTTGGCTTGTTACTTTTGAGTACTGTGTAAATTCCACGTCATACGATTACTTATAGATACGTTCATCTACTTTTGATTAATAACTTCCCATATTACTGCATTCCACTACTTCATTCTTATGTGTTTACCATTTCCAGTTTTTCCGGTTGTACTGTATTGGGTCGCAGCCGATGGTCAAAACTTCGTCGTGTTGTTACTGTTTGTAGTATAATGTTAGGTACACCAATCCTGCTTCCACTCACAATTGTCATAGCACTTCCTGCTTTATCAATTAACTTCACTGTACTCATGACCAAACATGTAAGTTACGATGTCTATTTAGTTGAATTCAACTAATTCACGTTTATATGTTAGTATCTGCGCTTTCTTAAGATCATTCAACTGATGGTAGAACTCATCCTTGATTGCATTCGGGTTGCAATCAATTGGGGCGTAGACGGAAATAACGAGAATACACCGTTTCACAAACCAGTTCTTTCTCTTTTTGATGGAGCCTTCTAATCTAACAGCACATAGACAACTGTTAATAGTGATTCAATCGATTAATACTCCTCCTGCTCAGGCGCCCATTGTGATACCAACACCAGCAAAACCAGAGGAAGATATCCCAGGGTCCCCAACTAGGCGTACCTGAATCCGGCATTCCGAATCGACAGATGGAACACGAACTTGTAGTACTCCACTAGAGTATTGAACATGGGTGGCTAGAGACATTATCAGATATGGCTCAGAATAGAAGCCAGTGGCGATTCTGCTGTAACTTCCCTTTAGTTCATAAAAAAATGAACGTAACTTCTTTGATTGAAAGAATTATTTTTGGTTATACTTTTGCTAACTCAACTGTTTCTCCTATTATTATTATCATTATTATTATTTCACCCTCATACACCAATTTCTGTTCGTTGTTGTTTCTCTTTTACTATACGCACTTTACATTCTTTGCCTCTTACAACCCCATTGTTATTGTGTAGCGCATATGTATTTCGCGCCCCCTTGTGCCAATGTATGTATCCACATAAATAAATGACTGAATTATGAAGAACTACACATCTCAGGAGAGGCACGGAATACGATGGATATGTTGGATGCGACTAGATGATTTCAACTTCGCAGATGACCTAGCCCCTCTATCCTATACACACCAACAAATGCAAGTCAAGACGACGAGTGTAGCAGAAGCCTCTGCATCAGTAGGCCTCAACATACACAAGGGAAAGAGAAATATTCTCAAATACAACACGGAAAACACCAACCCAGTCACACTTCATGAAGAAACTCAGGAAGAGGTGGGAGCATTCACGTACCTGGGAAGCATCATCGATGAGCAAGGAAGGTCTAATGCAGATGTGAAAGCAAGGGGCGCCTTTCTACAGTTAAAGAACATATGGAACTCAAAACAACTGTATGCAAGCCAATATCAGAGTCAGAATCTTCTATATGAACGTCAAGACAGTCCTACTGTGCGGAGTTAAAACTTGGAGAACTACCACAACCATCATCAAAATAGTACAACTATTTATAAACAATTATCTACGCAAGATATTCAATATGCGTTGGCAGGATACCATCAGAAACAGCCTACTGTGGGAGAGAACAAATCAGCTTCTAGCTGAATAGGAAATTAGGGAAAGACGTTGGAGGTGGACAGGACATGCCTTGCAGAAATCATCGAACTGCATTACGAGGCAAGCCCTAGCTCGGAACCCTGAAGGGAAACGGAAAAGTGGAGGGCCGAAAAACACACTACGTCGAGAATTGGAAGCAGACATGAAAAGGATGAATAGCAACTAGAGGCAACTGTGAAGGATTGTCCAGGACGGATTTCTATGGAGAATGCTGGTGAGCGACCTATGCTCCTCCACTACAGGTAATAGGCGTAAGTTTCTAAAAATGCGTACTCAGCTGTATGATCCGAACTTCCGACCAATCATTAACTTGAGTTTATTTGAGACCTTTATCTGATCACTGTTGAACCACTACTGTAAACCTTGACGCACTGGACAACCGTTTCCTCCTAGTATTGGACTCGAGGTGTACGCATCCAAGATCCTGCACTGGAGTTTATTTAGACAAAAAACGTTTTCTCTATCGATGAGCTGCTTTGTGAACTGGCAACAAGAATAAAGAAAGGATGGAAAAAAGGGAAAAGTAAAACAAGGCGAGACTAAAACACTTGACTTAAATGGGTAATTTTTCAATGCCGAGTTAGCAGTGATATCAAATTCAGTCGATTTCTTCATGATTATTCACTGTCACTGTGAGACAGCTGAAATATTACCCGGGTTCTCAGACCGGACCATGTGGATTTATTAGACGGCTGCTCACCGAACGTTTTATCTAGAGATTGATTCCCTAACGCCACAGGACCTTATGAGATGTGACCTCATGGTGATCACTCAAAAAGTCAGTCCTATGCACTATCGATCTTTCAAGATTCTGAAGTCACTGCGCACCATTAGTTTGGAATTAAGGTTTTCAAACTTTCTTAGGTGGATCTTCCATATCCACCAACTTGGTCGTAGTTTGAAATAGAATGTGTATAAGGTGGCGGTTGGAAATGGCCGTTAGGATACCCTAGACCTAAATTTCATGATATTTGACACATATTGGCAAGGTGTAACTTATGCTCGCTGGTGAGTTCAATACGGTATCAAGCAACGCCATAGTCAGTGATGTTACCACCGAGATTTTTAGATCGCGACTGACCTCCTGTGAGAATGTGTATATGTCGTTTGAGCAACTAGTTTGAAATCACTATTTTCTTATTATTGAAGAACTAATTCTTTGTTAAGAAATATACTTGAACAAAGTTTCTCAGAAATAATAGATAAGTTTAATACCGCATTGAAAATAAAAATTTTTGAGAAATCTTACTTTTTTTGTAGTTTCTCAACTAATAAGTCAATCATATTGCTCTTCACGTGTTTTCAAAAGTCAAATGTCTGTTTATAATTTAGTCATACCGGCATTAAAAAGTATGCATACGTTCATAGTTATTGATTCCTGGTGTTTTTGTCTTAGCAATTTCACATAATACTTGTGTTTGATTGGCTAAAATCTCTAGTTGCGATAAATTTTCGTCTCAACTCCAATCAATCTGTGGTTACCAGCACACTGCCGACAATTTTGACAAAACAACTTATGTTGACGAAGATTAGAAATACCATTTCCATGAATTTCTCGTATGTTTCTATGAAGTGGAATGTTTCTTTTTCTTATCATCTATGTCACATCTAATTACCATTGTTTGTTACTTGATTAGCGCTAATATTCTCCTAGTACGATCTATTGTAGCGCCGATTTCAGCCCTAAGACAAAAATTCATACTAAGATTCTGTCTAAATATGCTCCGCCTTACTATCACTAGACAAAGCAAAGATGTTATTTACGCATAAGTTTTATATATTCGGCGAGTGTATGGCTCAATTTTTCCAGTACTACTATTCACACCACAGAAAATCACCTTTTTCTGTTACATGTTGAAAAATTTACAATAAACCATGCCATCTATATGACATTTTAATTCACGCCAAAAATATGTGATGATGGATGTTTTGACATCAAATTTGATTTCATAATTATCGTCATCAACCTCATAAAGAGGTGGAAGTGACTGTGCTTTATAGATATTCAGGTAACTTTAGTTTTCGAATCAATGGCAATTTTTCGTCACATGCTGTCACTTAGCCGTTATTTCATTGGTGAACTATTTCTCTTTGTGCTGCTTGTCACCTTTGTTACTTACTTGATGGCTGATTATTACTTGTTAACTTTTTTGGTAGATTGAACAGTAATTTTGTCTGACCAAGCTATACATTAAATCTATTTCAGTGTATCTGCTGATTATTATTTCGTTTAGATATTTGATCTATAGAAATACTTTTCGCAGCAAGTAACTTTATAACAGCATCAAATACTTGTCATTTATATTCATGGAGTCAAATTTCGAGTGTATTTACATCTATTGCTCGATAGATAAAATCAGAGGAACAAATAGTGATGTAAATATTTGAAATTTCACAGGCTTTAGAACCGGATAATAAAATAAGTCCCGATGAACACGTCGTCATTTTTTCTACCAGCATTTTGTTAGATACGACGAACACTTGTAGATTTATTTAATATTTTAGAATTTTTTGTATAGTCTTAACGCGTATTTAACATATTAAGAAGTAAAATAGTTGGCTGATACTAAATCGTTAGTGGGTTGTGAATGTTTCAAACCTTTCCTAACAATAGCATTTACTTCTAATTATTCCATTAACATGCTGACTAGTAGCAGAGACATTATGTTAGTAAATAGTATGGTTTGCCTCACTATTCCTACCAGAGTTAGTTCAATAAAAATATTTAAATTACCAAAGTTAGCAAACCATAATCTTGGATTGCATAATTATCAGCCATGTGTAAGAGGAACCTTGTAAAATTTTAGGTGATTTTATCCAGTCTTTAGCAAAGTGGTTTAAAGCGAAATATCTTTATATCTCCTTTACAGACGTTTTTTATCTACTTTTATTGTTTTGTACACTAGACCTAAGAACCATTTCTTTGAATTGTGAAGACAAACTTCAACTAGTAATTTTTATCTACATTTGGTAGGTTAATTGGATGCTTCTTTCGAAATCCAAACATTTAAGACGGTTTGTTCTATTCTGGGTTGTAATCGCTGGTCTCATTGTGTTCCCAGTACTAACAGGTAAGTGCCATACTTTTGCCTTTAAGTTTTCTTCACTTGATCTTGGTTTAAATGAAACAACCCTCATTCTAGTCACATTAAGACAACAGATCTGCGGAGTAGCTTTTTCTGGTCTACGTTTTGCGGAAGAATATCAAACTTTTTGTGTTCAGTCTTAAAATTACAGGAGTACATATGGTTTGCGACTGCAGATCGCGCATTACAAAATATATCATACCACTGTGGTTACGTTCACTTTTGATTTTGCTTTCTATCTGTTCATGTTTGCAATCTAATTTGTCTCATAGTTTTATTTCCGTTGCTAAGCATATGTCATAAATTTTACCTTGTGACAGCTTGAAGTGGTGCACTGCTATAGGATAGGCTATCTATCACTTCAATCGTTCAGTAAATTATTTGACTCAAAAAAAATAAAAGTTCATAATATTTCTAATGCAAACTAAGAGTTGGTACGGTATCAAACTCAGAGACTATTTACATAGTTTTCAGGTATTTTTATTTCATTCTGTTTGCTAATCACATTAATCTAGTTTTGTAAAGACAATCGAAATATCCAAACCAAAGCAAAATGGCCGTTCATTTCTCCATGCCTTTCATTTATTCATCAGCTTGCGATGAGAATTAACTCCGGCATATAATTTAAGAGATGAATCGTTACTGACTTTCATTTTTAAAACATCAATAAATCATGTTTGCTAAAAACCATTCCCAGAAATCATTCAATGTAAACGAATAACAATGAAGGTTTCTCAATTTCTACAAAGTGTATAGTCAAAGAATGGGCGTTAAACTAATAAAATAAATCTGTTATATTAATCGTATGGCCCCGCGTTTTAATTCCAGTGATAAAATATGTATCCCTATTAACTTAGTATATTTACCTAGACTTAACTGTTGTGTAATGAATACGTTAACGATTATATGAGATGTTTAGTGGAAATAGTCTTGAGATTATGTATACTTCAAGGATTCGGATGCGCAGGCAAACCATGCAAGCAAGATGGATATTAACCTGGGCCAGAATTGTTGAATTAGTTATAACTGATTTTAAATGACCAAATAAATGATAAGATAGAGAAACATTACATATACAACGTTCACTTGGATATCTTCTTACTGTTATCAAAATATTGCATTTTTCACCCTACTTGTCAGACGTTCTTCACATATCTTGTGTGTGATTTATTTATAAATACAGACTTTATTTTAGATCTGAATTCTATGAACAAGAATATGTAGCAGTATTCACCACATTTGTAGTGCATAGCGGCGTGTTTACGGAAAATAATCGTAACAGTAATAATCCATCAGCTATATGTGGTTAGTATTTTACGTTAATGCGTCATTCGTCGACCTCACCAAATTTATTGTATTGTTTGTAGTAGTCGCAGCAGCCATAGCTGGTAGAAAAACGTGCTGTCGAGATTCCGATCGCATAATAACCTTTGCATCTGATTTTTATTTGTGATGATGTTGTCATTAATTTGTATTTATTAAACAACCAGTTTGTCGACTGTCGATGAGACAGAGAAACTATCCTTGTAGCTACTTAATTATGGAGTCCGTACCCCTTCTCGGATTACTGCCGGTCCAAAGCCCGGGTAAACAAGGAGGGTTAGACATGGTATCAGCAACTTCATACCATGAAAAAACAACCTTGTTAAAACAATGATAAACAGATTAAACAAAAAATAAACCATTCAAACTGTTCTGGAAGTTGGATGATCTTCGTTTATAAGAATTATGACGCGTCATGATGAAAGCCGACATTCTTCAGAAGTCACGAGGCCAAAGCCCCTTCTAACCACCAGAGTAAGAATTAATATGGGTACATGGGACGTCCGGACAAAGTGGGAGACCGAGAGGATCAATCAAGTGGCTATGGAAATGAGGAGATACAACCTGGAGGTCCCAGGAATCAGTAAAACCCATTGGACCGAAGCTAGACAGAAAAGGATAGATTCAACAGAGGTGCTGTTTTACTCTGATCAAGAAGAAAGTACTCCACACTCACGGAGTTGCTCTGATGCTGTCCAAAGAAGCACGCAAAGTACTTATAGGATGAGAATCTCATGGACCCAACGAGGGAATCACAATGAATATTATCCAATGTCATGCACCCACCAATGATAGCAACGACGATGATAAAGATAAGTTTTACGAGAGGCTGCGATCGATCATAGAGAATTGCCCAGGAAAGGATCTGACAATCCTGATTGAAGATCGAAACGCCAAAGTTGGAATGGACAACAACGGTTATGAAGATATCATGGGACGGGATAAACTAGGAGAAAGGAACGAGAATGGGGAGATATTTGCAAATCTATGCGCATTCAACAAAATGGTTATAAGCGGCATAGTATTCTGACACAAAGCTACGTGGGTCTCACCGGATCACAATACAGAGAATCAGATCGATCATATTTGCAACAGTAAAAA